AAGAGAATCCACCCAGAGAATCAACACATCTTCTGTGATGCTAGACACTGAAAGATCTGCAAAAATGTAAAACAATGCCATTCTTCTAATATTTCTTTTGTCTTGGAAAACAGTTATGTTTCATGAAAAATGTGTTATTTGTGTTAACATGTAATGAGTCTACCTGTAAAGTGAGCATTTAAAAAATTTTGTTTTAATTTCTTACACAGTAAATATCGACATTAAATAAATCACACAAACAGAATCTCTTCAGGGGTTCTAAATAATTTTATAAAATGTAAATGGTCCTTGAGCTCAAAACACTGAGAACCTCTGTTCTTTGGGTTCCTCTCTCCCTGGCCCTCTAGTCTAGCCAGCACGTACCTCCTTCAGGACCCCCTTTCTTGAGGGAGCCTAAATTCAGGCATACATTCTCCTGAACTTTTTGTTTAGCCTTTTCCCAAATGTGGGATTCCTTCTGAATTGCCTAATCTTGGTCCTTGTACAGTGCAGCAGATAAAACCTCATCCATCTCCCAAATCAATCACCGTCTCAGGAAAACATCCTAACTACTTTCACTTAAGACAAAAGACAGACCCAGGGCCAGGAACGGATTCACTGCAGAACCACTGCTCCCTCAGAGGGCTTTCTCAGGGGTTTCCATTGGCACAATAGCTTTAATACAAAAAAGAAAACAGGTATTATCTACAAGCATAGTTTCAATAATTAGGAAAATTAATTAAATACAGAATTAGCAAAAAATTAAATATTCTAAAACTTAACTATAAACATTCTGTATTTTTATATCCTTATTTTTATTAAAGAGGATCCATAATTTTACAGTCAAAATGCATCCAGGATATTACCTATTTCATCTATTTTTACAGATGACAAAGTACTCAAAAAACCCTAGACTTGCCCTAAATCCACAAATAATATGCCTGGCAAAGCAGGGGAAAAACTCTCTGTAGGAAAACAATTCTCTAGGGGTCTCTCCCGTGAATGGGGCACTAACTGCCCTTTTGCTCTGGAACATCTTATCAGGGATGTGTGGATAGTGAACTGCTTTGAAAGGCAGAGCTATTGTCTTCCTTTAGAGCAAAGTGCAGACTTGCTTAATGTCCAGTATGATAATGTCTTTCTTGGGGCCAAGGGCAAGTTGGCTTGCATTCCAGTATCAAAGATAACAAGTGTCCTAAGTTTAGGACTTCTCAGCTGTGATGCAAAACTACTGTGGGTACCACAGAGGGCTGGGCCCCACCACATCATCCCTCACAGGATTTGGGGAGCAAGCCGGAAATGACACACAAGAGATACTCACACTGTCTGCTGTGCTGTGAGTAATCAAGTCTGCGTGTCTGACCCAAGAGTCTTGTGCCTTCCACAAGCATCCATGAAACTGTGGCAAGCTAACCTGTTATTTCACAAGTACAGTATGATCTCAGATCTCACAGTTCCTAACATTCATTAGGCCACAACACGCAAGCACAAGAAGCATGGTAGCCAAATATATACTTTTAAAGCAGCATCCTATGGTAAAAGAGCAATTGAACTGGCTATTCTCTACAGCAGGGCACATCCTTTGGAGAAAATCAATATGGCAAATACACAGCAAAATCTTTGATCCGGTAAATTGTACTTCTAGGAATTTATATCAAGCATCTTGTATTAGGTTGCCTGGAAACAGACTCTGAGGCAGAGTTGTGTGCAGAAGTATTACTGGCCAGTGCTGCTTGGGAGATGCCCCTCTATGGAAATGAGGATGGCAAGACTAGGCAGGAGGTGACCAGCAATGTGGTTACACTAAGGCATCAGCACCTACGAACAGCTCTGGACTTCGGAAGGCTCTGTGGTTGTTCTAAGCTGAAGCAAAGCAACCAGACCCTCACTCCCCTGCACAGCTTAGGCACTGGCCAGGGGTATCTCCTAAGGGCAAGTGTGGACTGAATAGTGCTAAATGACATCCCTGAATTGTAGCAACATGGCTGACAGAACAAATGGCAACCTCTAGACTTCCAGAGCATACACACAGCAAAGTCTCCAATTCCCCAGATACCAGTGACCGTCTGGAATAATTCAGATGATACCACCCAGGAATGATTCACCAACACAAAAGAGCAAGAAGGAATGGATGAATTCCATAATAATCAAGTATCAGGAAATACATGTGCCACTCGAGTTTACCGTGCTTTCTATGCCTGACCTGCCATGCTAAGTGTGTCACATATATTATCTCATTTACTTCTCATAAGGTCTGTAACAGATACTATTATCAGACCCGTATACAAATGACATAAGACAAGTAACTTGCGTGAGGTCACAAGTAAGTGGCAGAGCCGGGCATCAAACACAGGTCTGCCCCTTTCCAGGGCCCAGGCGCTTAATTAACCAATCCATTCCATCGGCTTCCTATTTGGGGTATTAAAAAATACACATCCTGAGGACATTCACCCATTTTCCTCTCCAGATCTATTTCTCCTTATCTCCTCCTACTCCATATCCTGGGAGGCTGATTTGAATGTTATAAATGGAAGCAGTCCTTTGCAGTCTGGAACCAGGCTTCTTCCTGTGGGAACACCTCAGGCTGGCTGTGCTGTCTTATGAAGGTAGCAGCTCCTGTGAGATGCATCTCCCATCTTCAGATTCAGTAACCATTCCCTCCCCTTGACCCTCTGGGCCTGGAGTGGAACTTACTCCCACCATACAAGCTATGACGTATGCACTGTCCCTGGTGGCTTCCTTGTGCCTTGCCCATACCTTGGCAGTCTCTGTTATACTCTCCTCAAATTATCCAATTTGACAGTGTCATCTTTTCCTGCCAACAACTTGACCCAATACATGTATCTATACACAAACAGGCGCTGAATGGTGGCAGAAATTTTTTATTTACCGCTAGGGTCTGACTATTTGTATCTCCTGAAAATACATATGTTGAAATCTTAACCCCCTGAGATGATGGTATCAGGAGGGGAGGCCTTTCGGAAGTGGCCAGAGTCATGAGGGTGGGGCCCTCATGATTAATATTAGCACCTTATAAAGGAGACTCCACAGAACTCCCTAGCCCCTTTTACCAAGTGAGGACACGGTGAGAGAGTACTGGCTATGAACCAAGAAGATGGCCATCATCAAAATATGACCATGTCTTGATTAAGGACTTCCTGCCTCCAGAACTGTGAGAAATACATTTCTGTTACTTATAAGCTACTCAGTCTATGGTATTCTGTTGTAATAGCCCAGAGATGGAGACATTTACATCCTAGCAAAGGAAACTAAAGGTCATTTTTCTAGGAATAATATGCTGTATTGAGGAAAAAAAATACTGAAAACAGGATAGAAAGCATCCTGCCCTTCAATAAAAATAAGTAACAAAATATCTAGAATACTTTGGCATTATCTTCCCCTCCTTCACTGCCATCTTGTTTCCTTTGAGGAGCCTGAGGAGCAGTGGAGAAAAGCAAACAGAGAAGCAAGCAGCAAAATAAAGTACCTTCCTTCCATATCTCCTGGGGGGACGTGCTTTCTATGTTTTTTTTCTTAATTTTTAAAAATGTTTTTATTTATTATGGAGACACAGAGCATGAACATGGGAGGCGCAGAGAGAGGGGGAGACACAGAATCTGAAGGAGGCTCCAGGATCTGAGCTGTCAGCATAGAGCCCAATGTGGGGCTTGAACTCACAAACTCTGAGATCATGACCTGAGCCAAAGTCAGATGCTTAACCGACTAAGCCACCCAGGTGCCTCATACATGCTTTTCATCTTTAAAGGATACCTAGCCTTCCAGAAAAGATCCAGAGAAGGTCAGCCAAATGAAAAAGGGAATATAACAAGGGAATGTTAAAAACAAAAAAAAATTATTAGGTATAGAAAAGAAAATCATAAATGTGCTCGTATAAGCAGCATCTTCATTAACTGGACAAAGTTTAAATAAAACTACCATACCATAGGGGCGCCTGGGTGGCTTAGTCGGTTGAGCGTCCGACTTTCGCTTAGGTCATGATCTCGAGGTTCGTGGGTTCGAGCCCCGCGTCGGGCTCTGTGCTGATTGCCAGCTCGGAGCCTGGACCCTGCGTCGGATTCTGTGTCTCCCTCTCTCTCTGACCCTCCCCTGCTCGCGCTGTCTCTCTCTCTCCTAGAAATAAATAAAACATTAAAAAAAAAAAAAAAAAAAACTACCATACCATAGAGCTTACTAAGGTTAAAAAAAAAAAAAAGCATTGAGAAGAAATGATAGCTTGAAGAAGAATTTAGATAAAATCAATGGATGATATGAATCTATCACTCCTTCATTCAAAATGATTTATCAAGCACCAACCACGCGTAGAGGTGGATAATAACCTAGCATGCTATCCTGTGTTAGCCATGACCAGCTGGTGGACTCTGGGCAAGCTACCCTCTCTTAAGCTTCAGATTCCTCAGCTATAAAATGGACAGAATGTGAGTAGCCAGCTCCTAAGTGTGCTCTGAGGATTAAATAATTAAGAGACATAAAGTGCTTAGTTCAGTTTCTCGCACATGCTAGGGACTCAATAATTGTTAGCTAAGATGATTGGTATTAAAAGCAGTAAAAATTAAAAAAAAAAAAAGAAAAAAGAAACAAACCTAAAACTCTTGATTTGCTTTTAAGAAGCTCAGCCTAATAAAGAACTCTATTACTCAAACAAAACTAGAGAGGCCTAAGTACACACTTTTAAACTTAATTTTCAAACTTAATACGACAGGGAGCACACCAGAGAGTCTCATGAAGGCTCCCTGGTTATTACAAGAGACAAGCGAGCTAGATTTCTTTATTATAAATATAGAAAAAGAACAATATTATAAATTTGAGCCAGTAAAAATGGATAAATCCAAATAGACCTTATATAGATTTAATAATTTTAGAATGCCATTTGTAAAGCTAACTCAAGAAACCGAACAGATATTATTTTACAGGCTTTGTGTCACTAGAATAAAGAGTCATATTTGCAGGGATTTCCCTCTGAATGCTCAAAGCATCATTGATACAATTTCTAATAAACCTACTCTTTTTCTTTAAGCTCTGGCAAATCCAAATACCAGTGCTCTTCGCTAATGATTTTCTTTTCTTCCTCTTCTAGTTGTTTCTTGGTCTCCGAGTCCAGTCCCCTTTGCATGAACTGTAAAAACAAAACAAAATCAGGGTCAGCAAGTGGTTTTCCTGACTTAGAGTAGAGGAAAACACAGATAACTTTATTCTTTCACGTCCTCTCCCTTGTTTCTCCAGGAATCCCATCTCAGAGGTGAGGGTGGAGGTGGTGTGACCAACGTAGCTTAGCTCTGCCCTAGATGATGTCACACCAGACTAGCAGGGAGCCCACCAGACTACACAAAAAAGTATGTGGACTTCCTGCAGAAGACTTCAGAAAGATCTTTACCATACTTTAGTTTGTCTAATTTAATAAAACAAGCAACAAAAAATTGTATTCTATCAGTAGCACGCAAATATTTCAGTTTTACATAGTGGTCAGTGGGGAAAGGCTAAGACAAAAGACAGATCATGACAGGCAAGTGGAGACAGAAAGTGAGAGGGGCCAAAAGAGGGTGAGAGACTCAGTACTTTCTGAATCTCTGACCCATGGAGCCCACTGGTCTTCGTATCTGTTGATCTTGGTCTGGAATGCCTTTTCTCATGCTCTTCCACCTGGCCAACTCCTAGCCCTTCTGGTATAGAAAAAGCTACTCCATCCCCGTGAAATTATCTATGATACCTGAAAGCAAAATTGGCATTTCTCTCCCAGATGCTTCATATGACACCCTCAAATAGTCTCACCACATTTTAAATCCTTGAGCATTTGCCTCTTCTGGAGACCCTGAGGGCAGGGACTTTGTCTAGATTGTCTTCTTCCTCACTTTTAGCGTAATAAATGATGCGTAGTAGGGACTCTAAAAACAAACTGAAGCAAAGCTATATCTATAAGCCTGCTCTTCATGTATATCTATTCTCTGAAAGGCTGATCACCTCTACAGCTGTACTTTATTCTAAAATGTGCAGAAGCTCAATTAAAAATGAGCCAGGAGAGAAACTCATAGTCCAGCTGCTAGTCTCTTCTCACCATAAACAATAACTACATTTCCTCAGGGAAACCAGTGAGAACACCAAGAAGTCAATCACAGTAAAATGATTAAGTATTCATAAGGGAAAAAAATAAATTCAGAAAACATCCAGGAGCCTCCACCTCTAGCAGTTAGGTCTAGAGTTTCACTGATTTCCATTTATCCCTATTACTTTCCCTTATCCAAGCTCTACATTACTTTTCCCTTCATTCCAACCATCCCCAAAACACAAACATTTTTAGGCATAAGGGCTTTACCAACGAATAATCAAATGATGAAACCTGAAAAACATTTACAAATAAAATACAGTGATAACATCCAATTCTGATGAGGACATAGTGAGACTGATCACTCATACTACTGCTGGCGGGAAGATGAAATGGTACAATCTCTGCGGAAAACAGCTTGACAGTTTCTTACCCGCTAAACATGCATTTACCATATTGACCTAGGACTTGCTCTCTTGCACATTTATCTCAGAGAAATGGAAATTTATGTTCACTCAAACCTTTATACAGAAATATTTAAGCAGCTCTATTTGTTAATAGCCAAGAACTGAAAACAACCAAAATACACTTCAACAGGTGAATAGTCAAGTCTGATGGTACTTCCATTGCATGGAATACTACTAATAAAAAAAGGAACTACTGATATACTCAACAATTTAGATGGATCTCAAGTGAATACTGCTAAGTGAAAAAAAAAAAAGCGAATCTCAAAAGGTTACATCTTGTATGATTCCATTTATATAATATCTTTGAAATAACAAAATTATAGAAATGGAGAAGAGACTCCTGATTGCCAGAGCTTAGGGAGCGAAGAGACTGGGTGTGGTTGCAAAGGGAGAGCTTGAGAGAACCTCACGGTAATGGAACAGTTTTGTGTCTTGAATGTGGTGGTAATTAACATAAATCTGCTTGTGATAAACTGTATAGAAATATCACAATACAAGTAAAACGGTAAAATCAAATAGGCTCTGTAGATTGTACCATTGTCAATTTCCTGGCTTTGTACCATACTCTAGTGAAATCAGACAGAGAATGATGAGTATATAGGCTCTCCTTGTACAATTTTTGCAACTTCCTGTGAATCCATCATTATTTTATTTATTTAAAAAATTGTTTTATTTTATTTTTATTTATTTATTTTTTTGAAGGAGAAACGCAGAGTGTAAGCAGGGGAGGAGCAGAGAGAAAGGGAGACACAGAATCTAAAGCAGGCTCCAGGTTCTGAATTCTCAGCACAGAGCTGAATGTGGGAACTGTGAGATCATGACCTGAGCCAGAGTCGGACGCTCAACCGAATGAGCCAGCAAGGCATCCCTTTCATTATTTTAAATACACGTAAAAGAAATGTTTGCACTCTAAAGTGTTTTGTAGTCTTCCTCCTTTTACCTGTATCTATATCCTCACCACAGGAAAGAACCGGCAATTTCTGGAATGCGTATCCTATACTTCCCAGTCCTCTGTCTCTGCTATTCAACATCATGTTTCCATTTTCTACCTGGCAAAACATCCACTTATAAAGTCCCAGAACACATGTCCTTTGGGTCTCCCCTGACTGCTGTCTGGCCAAGCTCTTCATCAGCCTGTTCCCATAAAAAAGCACCTTTCCTTATGTCTAAGAGTCTTATAAGCACTGGCTTATTGTTCATTATGCTTCTTCTGTGTCTCCCAAAAGACTGAGATTCTGAATAGCAGACCATGTCTCTTATTCACCTTATGTTACTAGTACTCAGGCTGCACTTGGTATACAAGAAGAGTTCAATAAAGGTTCTCTGAATATAAGTCTAGACTTGCTTTATTTCTTCACACTCTCTTTCTTGGATGGTTCTCTTTAAACCCAGATGCCTCATTTTCATCTTATATTCTTGGTAACAGAACTCACCAATCTTGCCCAACTGCCTTTTTATCTCCTATTTTTAGTCACTTACGTATTGTTTATGGCATACAAAGCATCTATCTATCTATATATGTATGTTCTGTGCACAGGGAAAGGCTAAAATGCCCTGTGAATATGAAATCAAGCAACTTGGGATTTAGGTAGCAATCCAATTCTCCTGACTCCACAGCATCTAAGAACACTCTGTAAAGCTTAGTGATTTGGCTTTACTCACAACTGAGGGCCTAGAGCTGGTACCACAAACTACAGTCCTTAGGCTGGTCATCTATTGGTGTAAATAAAGTTTTACTGGAACAAAGATATGCTCATTTGGTTCTGAGCTACAATGGCAGCGGTGGGTAGTTACAACAGTGACTGGCCCTAAGTCTGAAGTATTTTTCATCCGTCCCTTTACAAAATAGTTCACCAACTCCTGTCTTAAGAGTCCAACAGGGCTAAAATGACACTGTCAGAATCGCCACCTATATCCTTCCCTTTCTACTTCCCATCAGGATCACCCTCCAGCTCCCAACAGCTGACCAAGTTAGAGGATTTCAAGTACACCTGAAAACTACCGTATTACTATTGAATCCTCAACTCTTTCATTTTTGCTCTATACTTAGCTCTAGCTGAACAGCTACATTGGATACAGCAACCTAAGGCGGCTGCTCCATTCACTCTCATAGGACACTCCACTCCATCTGTGTACAGAATATCTCCTGCTGCCTGCCAAAAACTCTTTTTCATCAATGACTGAAGGTGCTAAATGAACTAGAAAATCTGCATAACCTTTTCTCCCCTCGCCTTTGCTTCCAATGTCCTGTGGAGTCTTTCCCAACCACTGGGATCGGGATCGGAGTTGATCCTTTTTTTTTTTTTAATTTCTTTACAAATAGTTTATTGTCAAGTTGGTTTCCATATAACACCCAGTGCTCATCCCCACAAGTGCGGGGTTGATACTTTCTTAAGGTAACTTCTTCCTTCCTAACTCTTGAGTCAGATCTTTGGTCCGAGTCTTAACTACTCAGCATCATTTGATGTACCTGCTTTGCTAATCCACTCCACTGCTCTGATTATAAACCAGAAGTCAAAAGAAGGTGCTGTTGGGTAAAAATTCAAATTTTGCTAATATGTATGAAGCCAGAACCTTAGAGATTATAAATTATCTGCTTTAGCCTCCACCCTCACTCATCCTATTCATCCCTAGTCACACCCTAGCTCAACTCCATTTGAATCTGGCATATTCAACATTTAAGTCTCCAATCTTTTCAAACATTATTTACACCTTGCTACCTTTTTCTGGAAATTACTCTTTATGCATGAAATCTAACACTGTGCAGTAGGCTTCAGTGACAAGCAGTCACTGAAGGGGGATTTGGAGCCAGCCTGCCTGGGTTTGGTCCTGTCTACACTACTTGTTAGCTGTGTAACCTTAGGCAAGTTACTTACTTTTCCCTTTCAGTGCTTCAGCTATAACAGAGGAGTAATAACTATACTTACCTCACAGAGTTATTATGTGGATTTCATGGGTTGATATATGCAAAGCACTTAGAGCAGTTGTCTGAACACAGAGTAGAATGGATAAATCTTGGCTATTATTTAAGTTTGAAGGTCTGATGGTTTCCCCTGTTTTGATTCCTGTATTCATTTTATCTACCCTTGTCTTTTTTTTTCTTCCACTTTGAAATCATTTGATTGTTAAATTGATTCAATTTCGAATCTAAAGTCAATTTTGCTTAAAGCTGACATTCACCTCAAACGTTATAATTCTCTCCATTCCCACTGCCACTGCAACCAGATCCTCAGAACTTCTTGATCTTTCCGACTGCAACTTTGTCCCTTGTCAGATCTTTCTTTCACCAATGTATTTCTCCACAGGGCAGTTAAGTAACTTTGAAAAGTAAGCAGCACAGCTAAGATGCTGCTCCCCCTGCTCAAGAGCTTTGCTGCTCCCCCTGCTCAAGAGCTTTCTCATGTTCACAAGATAAAGGAAAAAAAAAATCCTTAATGTGGCCTAAAATTCTTCACATGTTGTGGCCATTGGCTACTTTTCCAGCCTCACATTTTTGCTCTTTGCCTTCCAAACAGACTGAAATATCTGTAGTTCCTGGAAACCTCAACGGATGTTGTGGTTTTTGCGTCTGACTTCTGAACTCGCTTCCTCCTCGGTTTTTGCTGCCATGCCCCCACCCTCTCACCGACCCTTCAGTCTCTACCCTAAGGGCCCGTTCTCGCCGGGATCCCGGCGCTCCGCGCATCACCTCACTTAGAGCCGCGCCACCCTGCCTGCTTACGTGTCTGTCCCATCCAACCGCGCGCTTTACAAGAGAAGCCGCCGGATTCATAATCCAGTTCCCAGTGCCTGAAGCAGAGCAAGCGCAAGGTGAATGAATGAACGCCTGGACTGAAGGCCCTCCATGGCCTCCCCGGTGGCCCCGTGCGCCCGCCGCCTCGGCCCCGGCCAGGTCGGCAAGCCCAGGTGCCCCTGTCGCCCCGCCCGCCTCCCCGGCGTCCCCACACCTTCATGCGCAGCAGGTTCTTGGACAACTTCGTCTTGCGCTCCGCCGCCATATTGACTCCAGCTCTGGGCCGCGATCGGCCACCAGCCCCCGCCGCGCACGCGCACTGCTGCGTGCGTCGCGGCGGCGTCCTACGCACGCAGCTCGCGTTCGTCCCGCCCCGTGGCTCCGCCCCCGTGTTTCGCACTCCGGCGCGTCCCGGAGTCTCCGCGCGTCGCCTCAGGGAGCGCTCGCCTCACAGAAGATGTCGCGGTAAGGACACGGCTGGCGGTGCAGGGGTGAGAGGGACTTGACTCGGGGAAGGAGACGTCTAAGGGCCTGCGGGAGGCCCGAGCGCCGGCCGCTGCGGCTTCAGCCGCGCCCCTGGGAGCGGCCTGAGGAGGCCGGTGGCCGAGTGTCGCCGCGCCTCACGGACCTCGTTCTGCCGCGCGTCGCCGTCTCAGTCGTGCTGGCGAGACCTTTGAGACACTTGCCTCACCGTCCCGGCTGGACCGAGTCTGTCGTGTATACCAGTTCCTCCCACGTTCACGGTCACCGCGTGCTAGGTAAACCCCGTGCCCAGTTGGGTAAACTGAGGCATGGGGCGGCTGCGGAGTCGGAGGGGGGGGTAGAGCGAGGCGTGTGCAGACCCCACGCCTCCCATACCTCCCACATCCGGCGTCGGAAATGCCCGCGAACGGTCCGTGCGTGGAAGCCAAGGCGCGAGGACAGGGCGGAGTGGAGAGACGGTGGCCTCGGCGCTGCCCGTCCCGCCCGAGACGAGCTCCACACCGGTGGCAGGTGCGGCGCCGTGGGACACACCCGGCCTGACAGTACCATTCCGGTGGGCACCCTGCGCGACGCCAGGGCCTCGGCGCCGGGCACCTTATCCTCACGAAGAAGGTGTCGTCCTGTCGTGTCAGTAGGGAACCTGAGGCCCGGAGTTCACACAGCCAGGAAGCGTTAGAGCCGAGGTTCGGGAAACTGTGGTAAACACATGGCCTTGCCCCCCAACCCCCCGCACGTTTTCGCAGCGGGGTCAGTAGAGTCACCCTAACATGGTAAGTGGTTATGGAAACTCATCCATGACTAAGTGCGAGACCCTGCGCCACAGTCGTGCAGAGAGACACACGACCTCCCTTTCCTGGAGCTGCCCTGAGGGCGAGTGCCGTGGAAGGAAGAAAATGATGATGGGATGGTGAGACTTTGAGGGTTACTGTAGGTCACGTGGGCCAGGATGGCTCTCGTGTGAAGATTAAAAGTTGAGAAAAACCTATTCCGTGAGGAGTTGGAGATAGAGTGTTCTGAGAAGAAGAGAGAACAACCGTAAAGGTCCTGAAATCAGCACAAGACAAGAGTTACCGTAATTTACCAAGTGGATCAGTGGAGGTAATCATGTTATGGGTTGAATTGTGTTTTTCCAAAACTAATCAAGAGTTTTGTCTTGGAATGGGGCTGTGTTCGGATATAGGGCCTTTAAAGAGGCCACAAAGTTAAAATGAGGCCCTTAGGGTAGGTCCTAATCCAACCTGACTGGTGTCCCTATAAGAAGAAACAATTTGGACACCCCAAGAGACCCCAGGGTTGCATGCACCCAGAGTGAACACCATGTGAGGACACAGAAGGTGGCCATTGGCACACGAGGAGAATGGCCTCAGAAAAAATGACTTCTGCTGACACCTTTATCTTGAATTTCTAGCCTCCAAAACTGTGAGAAAATAAAGTTTTGTTTAAGCCACCCAGTGTGTATTATTTCGTCTGATAGCCGGAGCAAATTCATATATCACATAATGACAGAGAACAATTGTAATAAGAACCCTGCTGAGAAAAATAATGGGGTTCATGAGAGAGAATAACAAAGGCGCCTAAGCCTTTCTGGCCTGGTAAAGGAAGGACGCCTAAAGGTGTGATATTAAAGTTGAGATCTGAAAGAGGAGGAGTCAGCCTGGGGAAAAGCCTTCCTATGGATCTTAGTTTTGTGCTACCATCACTCCCGCGCACCCATGGAACACATTTGTGGGAGCGTTGACAATACTGACTCTCATCTGGTTCATGTTTCCGTAGTGACTGATCTTAGGGTTACATATTCCAGGCCCCTTGGAAATGAATATACGTACTTTAAAAATGCCCACCAAGGCTGGGATGGTTGTTTTGGCCTCCCATGAATCTGTTAGAAATAACATAGCCTCCTCACTTCCACTTTTTAAAAATATTTATTTTGAGAGAGTGTGTGTGTGTTTGGCGAGGAGCAGAGAGAATCCCAAAGAGGCTCTGCTATGAGTACAGAGCTCAATCCCACCGCCGGTGAGATCATGACTGGAGCCAAAATCAAGAGTCAGACGTGTAACCAACTGAGCCACCCAGGCACCCCTCTTTTCCCTTCTTGATACAGGTGGTGCCACAAGATCTAATTAAGGTCTAGCTGTCAGGTGTGTGAAAGTCGTTTGAGGTACATTTGAACCCTTTTATCTCAACACATTGCTCTTCTGCATGTTCCTGCCCTTTATAAAATTGGTAGACTAAGGTCTGGATTTTGCAGAGAATAATTGTGCAGCTTCTGTGGGTCATCTGCCCAATTCCCCTTGTCAGTAAGTTACCTTGAATAAAACTCTAAACCGTATGGAGTGGCTTGCTTTGTTTTCCAGTCTCAGAGTGCCTTCTCGGTTGGAATCCTTTACTGTCTCTCTGCCACCTTATAACCTCTCATCTTGCAGAACTGAAATTCTGTTCCCATTAAACAATAACTCTACATTCCCTCCTCCCCCGTAACCACTATTCAATTTTTTATCTCTGAATTTGACTTCTGTTCAGAATTTTGAAAGTTCTTTGGGAGCAGAGGTGAAGAAGTGACCCAGGCCCAGTCTCCTATCTGCCTCTAGGAAGCAATGTTGACTTTGAACTAGATCTTGAAGAATGAGTACATATCTTGATAGCTTAAGAGGAAAACAATTCCTGGCAGAAATAAGAGCATATGTACATCAGCTAAGGATGCTAGGACCTCCACATCTTTCCTATGGATTCTGTTGCACACTGGATTCTGATTCATTTTCCTAAAACGTGGTCTTCATCATGTCACTCTCCTCCAAATTTTATAACTGCTGTTGTCTGAGGGATAAAGGTCAAATTCTTCAAACTGACACCCAAATTTCTACATTTTTATTTGACAATGAAAATACTTATAATTAAAACTAGTCCCCAAAGTCTCCTCCCTTCCATCAAAATGTAATAAATGAGAAGTGATTTAAAAGTAATAGTGTCATTTTCACCTTGAATTAAACCACTTGACTAGGAAGATAACTCCTGGATTGCTCTATGCTACTAAATTATAGAGTACAGAGGTAAGTCTCTAACTCAATATGTGTTAACGTGTTTTACAAAGCCAAGGAAATGTCATTTTGGGGAAGAGATATTTCTATAGGTCTTCACCCAATTTTGAATTCTTTCATAATGGAATTTGTTGCAAGTGTGAAAACTTCCCATTTCTTCCAATTACTGGATCCATCAAGAAAAGGTCCATTGAATGTCTACTCTTGTATGTAGCAGATCTAATCTAAGGCATATTAAGGCTGGTCATATATAGCTACTGAGCACTTGAAATGTGGCTATTGTGACTGAGGAACTGAATATTTAATTTTAGTTAAATCTGAAAACTAGTGAGGTAAAATATTTTCTCATTATATACATTTTGTTTTGGAAGGACTACATTTCACTTTAATCTGTGAAAATTTAGTGTCCCAAGTTTAGGGGACATGTACATGTAAAATACATGCTATATTTCAAAGACTTGGAACAAGAACACAAAATGCAAAATATCTGAATGTTTTTTTCAGATTGATAACATGTTGAATAATAGTTTGGATGTATTGGCTTAAATAAAATCTAGCATTAAAATTAATTTCATCGGGGGGCGCCTGGGTGGCTTAGTCGGTTAAGCATCCGACTTTCGCTTAGGTCATGATCTCGCGGTTCGTGGGTTCGAGCTCCGCGTCGGGCTCTGTGCTGACAGCTCAGAGCCTGGAGCCTGTTTCAAAGTCTGTGACTCCCTCTCTCTCTGACCCTCCCCTGCTCACTCTCTCTCTCTCTCTCTCTCTCTCCTAGAAATAAATAAAAAAACATTAAAAAAAATTAAAATTAATTTCATCGGTTTCTTGTACCAAAAATTGATAATGGCTTATTAAATAAAATGGGAATTTATTAGAATGATACTGGGTAGTCCCTAGAAGTAATAACAGCTGGAGAACAATGCTAAGTTAAAAGGTCAGAAACCAGGGCAGCCCAAGGATCTCAGAAGCAGAAATTAACTTGGTGCCCCAGCGAGAATGAGAAACACCAACTGATTTCTCTGCTGTCAGGACACTCAGAATGTCAAAGTCTAGGAGAGAGTCAAGGCCTGATTTATAGTCCTTGTAGGACTATACAGAATGGGGGGGAGGGGGGAGGGTGATTCTTTAAAGAAAAATTGGGTGTTGTAACCCGAAGAGAGAATGTTTGTCATAACCAAAACAGCAGTGTTAAGGACAAATAACTGAGGCAGGAAGGAAGAGAGTTCTCTTGACATAGCCCCAAAGGACAAATAATTGATAGAGCCTCAGTTGGAAAACTCATATCCAGCATCAAATCTACCCTTCTTACTGCTCACCGGTTTAATATAATAAGCCAGTGTTTGTTGGCTGCCTTTTATATGCAAATTGTGACTAGTTTAATTGGCCAAAAAATCTAATTGATGTAATACATCCTTTCTGCTCTTACATTTAGTTACTTGCCAAGTCCTCTATCAATTACTTATTTGTGGTTATCTTGGTTAAATTAGAATTTCGTGCTGAAAGTTACAGGACATCCAGATAAGTAGTTCCTAATCATTGGTCAGATGTTATGATAGAATGATCAGGAAAAATGAAAACACTTCAAAACCAAAAGTCATTCCTTCTTCCTGGATGGTTCTAATGATCGGTCAGGTTTTGGAAACTGCTGAGTTAGATGAATCTCCTAATTGTATATACCAAATTGCATCAACTCAGAATTCAGGTTTGTGAACTTTGCATTCAGCTTTCATTTTATTGTGCCCCTATTCATCCTTTCTTTTCCATTGTTACGAACCTATCCCTGGACTTAATGGTTAAATCTTACTACCTTA